CTGCTTTCTGGAGTTTTCCCCTTTCAGAAATGATGTATGATTTTTCTGAAATCCATAGAAGTGATTATCTCATCATGTACTGTGATAAAATGTAAGCAATACATCTTTTTTGCTAACCACGCCCCCTGCCCCGCAGAGCTTTGTGCAATAGGAAACTGAGCGCCGACCAGAACTAACCAATAGCGTTAAGACTACCTCTTACTTGCTTCAAATTTAAGGAATACCTCGACTGATGCAGAGTTGATTAACTATTCACAAACAAGTAAGTCTCTAACATATAAATATATGAGAACACAGCATGACATGAGAATAATACTCGTAAAACTACGTGTTTTAGCTCTGTTTGTCGGCTACAGAAGCACACTTATGAACAGAAACGTGAAGTCGCCATCTTAAACAAACAGAGGAATAGACTTTTGTGTGATATGCTTTTCAGCCACTAGATGGTGCGATTGGATAAGAGAAATACTCTGGAAAGAAGCTTTAAATTCAGTTTATTTCTATAAATAAATAACAACAAGAGTTGTCTCAAGGCACTTTACAAAGTAAACATTTTAATACAGTTCAGTTCATTAAGAAAATCAGTAAAAAGTTTCCTAAATATAGAACCCAGCAGGTTGCATCGAGTCACTGACTAGTGTCAAGAGTCTTCACAGCAATCCTCATACTAAGCAAACATGCAGCGACAGTGGAGAAGAATCCCTTGCATTACGCAAGAAAGATCCTGTCCATCCCCAGAGCTCTGTTGCCAAATAGATGTTATATTATACCACCCTGGTGGCATCTGATCGTCAACCATCCCGATCTCCCAACTCTGCTTCCTCATAAGGATATATGTTAGTGGGACTGAGAAGTTCCTTAAAAATGTTTCTTCCACCGTCCAACTAATATCCCAAGTTGAAGTCAGCTTCTCTCCTGCTCCACTGTAAATGATATTAGAGCGCTGCTGCCTTTGCCCCCTGAGGTGCTGCATGGGATGGTTTGCTAGAACCTCTTTGGAAATAGTCAGTAATGTTTTAAGCATTTCCAACCTCCCCATGTATACGATTTTACCTCAGCAGCTGTAATAGTTTTACTACAGATACCATGAAGCAAGTGACCCAGGAATTAAAGTTTGCGCTGACCCTCTGTCAGTAATTAGTGGGCTATCTCTAAGTATTTGAAACTATTTCAAGATTGGCACGAGCAACCTGGGAGAGTGACTCAGAGGCTGAGCTGTAATCCACAGCAAGTGTGGGACTGAGAGATGGAGCACCATCTGCTCACTGAAAATAATCAAGGAGAGAGGAACAGCGAGTCTCTTCAAGAGCTAATGATAACATCAACATTCAGGTGAACCACATTATACATTTTGAAACAAAAGACTTACGTTTGATCCTCCTCACCAACAGGTCTGTATCTCCACTGATCACTTGTGAATAAGTCAACCTGTCATTCAGTGATCAATCAATTCAAGTTCTCCCAGATTCTAACCCAAGCTGACTAAACCGAGCACCAAGCATGTAAAAAGAGCCACAAGAGGAAAGAAATGACTGCTTGGGATCACCTCCCACTATAGGAGCTGTATGTGAAGACTTCTACATGCTACAAGCTGACCTTCATTAGAAAGTTGATGAAGTATCGAAGATTAGGACACATAAGAGAAACGTGTGAACAAATTCAATGTTACAGATGAAAACGGCTTGTCTCTGTTTCTGGACTACATACTGTAACTTTCTAAAGGCATTCACCAAACAGAAACTGCTTTTTCCAACACTTTCTCTTTATAGTTTCTTATAAAAGTTTCCTCAGGGTATAACCTATTTCTGTCTTCGTCATGAATACTGTATGAACTGCATTTGCTGCTATATAAACATCCAAGCAGCCCAACATCTCTGCAAGCCAACTTTCCAGCCTGATACTAAGCGACTATAGGAAAATACATTGGCATGCATCCAACCAACCGTTAAAAGACTATTTGAATACAATCCATTTTGACGACATTCCTAACCGTCTGACTGGCAGAGGAGAAAGGATGCAGACTAGGCTGTTGATAAAGCACGTGTGCACGTGTGCAAATCAAAGACAGCAATGTAAACTTTGTGCAAAGAATTCCTCACTTGAAAATGTTGTGTTTGCATCCCTGCATGTGCTCAGTCTGTGATGAGAGGCAGACGTCAAGGCACCAAGTGTCACTGGGAAAAGCAGCTGAAAGAGCATGGAACAGCTGCTTCTTCTGGTGCGCACCAATCATGACACTGCACTGGACCGCTGCTTTAAAGGTACGATTTAAACCCTGGTTAGCGTTTGCTTGCAGGGTTAACAAACTACACAACTATTAATATTCTCCAATATTTAGCACCTAAATCCACAATTGAATTTAAAATGATTTTATGTCTAAAGCTCTAAGTCCCATCTCATAAAGAGAGTTATATTGCTCCTTATTGTCGTAACAGAGTCCTTCTCTATCTGATTGCATGTCTGTGCGTGGTTTCTAGAGTTTAGAAAACTAGATTTGGAGGCAGAGCTCTTATTTGATCCGAATTTATTCTAATGCAGCATTTTCATTATGTCCCTATCTGGGTGAATGGCATCTATCCAGTCCTTGGGTGTTTTTTTTTTCCTGCAGGTGGGTGGTTCCCTGAGCAGCAAGCACACCTGCAACAGATCCCTCATCAATCCAAGTGGGATAAGCGGAGCAGCAGAACGACTTCACTCTGTTGGATGATTACTCTCGTTGGGTAGATCTGACACTTAGCGAAGCTCGTGTGATCTTGCTCCTAGCATTTCTGAAGATTTTCTCTTGCTCTCCTGAGTGCCTCCCATGCCCAAACCCTCCAAAGCTTCTGGTAACACTGTTCTGCCTTCACGTCTTACTGCAAGGAATCTGCTAGACCCGCTCTCAGCTGCCCACCTGCACTCTGTCCCTCACCTGCCAACCTGCTGTCCAGTCCCTCTCCTGGCTCACTCACCCGGACCGCTTCCACCTTCTGCCCAAGATCCGTCTCAAACCCCGAAGCTGGGATTTTCTACCTCGTCCTTACCATCTACTCTTCTCCTCACCTTCAGATCACTTCCTGAAACCTCATCACAGCTTGGATCTGTTTACCATTACATCGTAAATACATTTGTTTTACCTTTACCTCTCCTGAGTCTGGGGTTGGTTCTGCATGTAGGTCAGAAAACTACCGCCCATCAATGAGGCAAACATTGCTGATCCTGCCTCCTTTAAAGACGGGGCTCTAAATAAGACAGGATTTCCTTCATGATGAATCCTATTGTTAGAGTTAGCTTGGGTTATCCTGACTCATCCCTTCAGTTGTGTTGTTATGAGCTTAGACAGCGATAGGACTTCCCAACCTTCCACTGTCTTTCACGTTTCTTCCATTTTCATTGAAATGACCCCTAGAGTTGTTCAATGTTTCAAAATTATTTCCATCCCAACAACATTATAGTTTATTTTCTGCATGTGTTTGTCTGTTTTCATGTGGAAGAGCAATCTAAATAATGAATTCATCAAAAAAGCTCACTTCAGTATTATCTATAGGACACAGTCAAAACTTCCTAGAGTTATTTGACCAAATCACAGATGTTTTTGGGATATTGTTACAACAAACTTTGTGTTTACTGTTAAATGTGTAACTACGAGATGCTTCCAGCAGACCTCTTCCTCTCAGCTCACAGTAAGAGAGCTCCGTTCCGTTCCCTCAAGGATTTTCCTTTCCACGGTTGTTAGAAAGGGCGACTTCTTACCAAATTTAATTTATAACATAATTCTCTTCTCAAAAACTCGGTTGAGGCAGATGGCGGCTCACGCTGAGCCCGCTTCTGCTGGGGTTTTTCCTGTTACGGGGAGTTTTCCTCTCCACTGTTGCTATGTGCTTATTTAGTTTGGGGACTGATGTAAAGTCACTGACACAAGTCCTGTCACTGACGCAAGTCAGTGACTTGATGCATTACGCTGGTTTTTACATAGAAAACTTTTAGCTAGTTGAAATTATGAATTGAACTCAATGCACTAATGTTTGCAGACCTTGAATTGGTGCTACATAACTGAATTGATCATGAATGTGAATTTTTCAAGAACGTGTCTAAGACTAAATGGACAGACATAGATTATAGGGTGATTGAAGTAGGCAGGCCTAGTCTCATTTGTTTTGATGACGCCTCCATGTCAGCAAGGCTCAATGCATTACAGTGCCCCGTCCCTATAAGCTACACATGCGTCCATGGCCCAGACTTTCCTTGCATCACATCTCAGTGCAGGATCCTGGTTTGTTTACAGGGTTTTCTTATCTGCGTGCATTTGAAGACGAGGCATCCGAAAGAATCGTGACGTGCGTAACGTGAAATCTGTCCAACACAGAAGAAAGGATGGGGGTGGGGGTGTCAATATTAAATAGCAAAGCAGCACGAAATTCTGGGGGGTGTTGTAATGAAAGGTTGCACGATGACAGGTCAGCGTATGGAGAGGAAATATCTGAGCATCCCTTCAGCTTGGACGCAAAGATGTGAATTTCATCCGTGAAAACGCGTTTATGACCCGTTCGGTGCCGATCTGGAGAATTAGCAGGTACCCCCAGCGACAGCTTGGCTCCGGGTCTCCCGGAGGCAGGCTCGCCCCTTTCTGACTTACCGGATTTGAAAAACGCCGCTATGTCTGCCGCGTCCGTCGCAGCCTCATCCAGTCCCTCTCCTGCGCTCATGGCTGCGGTCGCTCGGGTGGTAACAGAGAGAGATCCTTCAGATTGTTTTCTTGTTGCAGTCGCTATTTGTCAGCAAATGCGGATCCTCCTCACGCCTTTCCTTTCATTGAAGCAGAACCTTGTCGTATCATTTCTCTCATCAAGCAACAAACCTCCTCCTCCATTTTGGCCAGAAGGGGGAAAATCCGGGCGACCGATCGGCGGCGCTCCCGAGTTCGGACGTGAGGAGGAGGAGAAGGAGGAGGAGGAGGAAAGGGGTGATAATGAGAGAAGGCGGAGGTAAAAGAGGAGAACAGAGGGAGGAGGGCTATTCCGATTCAAGGGGTGGGTGAGGGTGGGATATCCTGGGATTCCGGTTCGGGGGTTGGGGGTGGTTGGTGCAATGTACGCCACCCAAAAATATTTTTTTCTTTTGGGTGTGCGCCACTGCACACCAGCAGCGTCACTCGCTGCGGTGCTGATGCGGGGTGCGTGGGTGTCAGGCTTCTTAAATGCACACATGGCTCAGCACAGATGTTCAGGCAGATGTGTCACAATTACGAACATCCCTGCGTCGTTACGTTACTTTTAAATTCTGGCTAAAATCAACGGGTCTGTCAGAATGTAAGTACCCAGGTGTTCTCACCTGCATTCTATTACTACAGGGTAAGTATTTTTGTACTATCAATAATATCCAGTGGTGAGAGGAGAGGGACGCAATGCCAGTAAAACATGACGATGAGTTCATCCTTTCTTCATCCTCTGGTGATGAAGATGATGCTACAGTATGAGGTCATTTGCCCCACAAACCTAACCCAGTTCTCCCGAACAGCTGCAGTTCGCTCCGACAGAAAAACTCTGCGCTTGCGCCATCTAGCGGCGCTCTTTGTAACGTGCGCCAAACGGGTCGGTAAATTCGCGGCTGCGTGGTGTGATTTAAAAAGCACTTCTTCTATTGCAGTAGGCAGCATATTTGAATAAATTAACACCTATTGTTTAAATATGACATATGAGCTCCAAAGAGAGTAAAAAAACAACTTAGAAACAGAATAAAAGGACAAGTTTAAAGCATCATTATTGCGTCCTATAATTGCATTTAAAGATGTTAAAAGGTAACAAAAGAATGAATAAAAGCAAATGTAGCTCTGGTTTCCCTCATCCTCCTCCCATTCGCATGTGGATGCATCGTTACCATGGAAACCACTAACAAACGCTTAGCTGAGGATTGGTGTAGACGAATCTCGGCTGATTGCGCTTAGAAATAATAATAAAAAACAACAAAGATAACACTTGAAGCAGATAAGGCTGTAATTTTAGACTCTAGAGAGTTGTAGAGAAATGTTGGAGCCATGTCGACCAGCTCTCGGAACACCAAAGTGAGCTACAGACTCAGCCAGCCGTCTGAGTTCGCGGAGACGCTCAAGGAAATGCAGGTTTGACTCCAACAAATACATATTTTAAGTTATTTTAGTTTTAATCTGTGCTTATTCTGTAGCAGCCAAAAGTCATTAAAGGCTGCTTTATTCCTGTAGCTTTTTGTCACCATCTACAAGACAATTGTAGATTGTAGACATTTTTTTGTTCCACCTCCTGTTTTTGGTGTCTAATTCGTTCACCTGACCCACTACAACAGCATTTTCTTATTTTGATCTTCTTTGTGAATAGATGGTTTGTATTATTATTATTATTATTATTATTATTATTATTATTATTATTATTATTATTATTATTATTATTCACATTCTGAAACACAATCGTTTATTACAGTATCTTATTGTATTTTCCTGTGAAAACCTGTACCTCGGTTTCATAAAACATCCATCTTTAGATGCCAACAAGTGAAATATGGAATAACAATGATGCACATGCATTGATCAGAGCTTTTAGGAAATTAGCAGCAAAACGTTAACATCCAAGAACGTTCTTGTCACTTATGATGGAAACAACGTGCCCTTCTTTTGTAGCTTCACATCCCACTTGAGCTACTCCAGCTCACAACAGCAGTGGATGCAGTGTTGGTGTTCTGTCCCTCCATCCACTAGGTGGTGGTATGTTCCCTGCAGACTAGCTGGCCAAACTCTTGATGCTGCCTGCTGCATTATGACAAATGCTGTCATAGTCCAGTTAAAATGAGACGCATTGGAAGCACGTTTGGTTTGCTTAATCTCTTCATTTTACCAAATCTGTTCTCTATAGCTTTCTTATAGTACACAGTGAGAACTGTTTCCTTACTTGTTTGTTACATTTTCATTCCTCACCTTCTTATTTAGATCTATTTTCATTTGTTCACCTTTTCTATTCTTGGTACGTAGTGTGTCTGGGTTTTTGTGTAGTCGTTATCATAGTGTCTTGCATCGTTTAGCTTATGAAAGTGCCTTCTCTCTTTTCTCTGTGCCTTCATCTCCTCATGCTTAGACTACTGTAACTCTCTTTTCACGTGTCTGAGCAGAACCTCCCTGAACCGTCTACAGGTGGTTCAGAATGCCTGTGCTCGGCTTCTGACCAAGTCCTCCAAACACACCCACATCACCCCGCTTCTCCTCCAGCTTCACTGGCTGCCAGTCAACTTCAGGGTTCTCCTGGTTCTGGTCTATAGGGCCTTGCATGGACAAGCACCATCTTGCATTGTGATCTTCTTAGTCCCTACACCCCCAGCAGGTCCCTGAGTTCCAGTGATCAAAGCCTACTGGTTGTGCAGCGCACCAGGCTAAAGACCAAAGGTGACAGATCATTTGCTGCTGTGGCCCCCAGACTCTGGACCTCTCTCCACCTGAGCCTGAGATCAGTGGACTCAGTGGTCTCCTTTAAAAAGCAGCTGAAGACTCACTTGTTCAAACTGGCTTTTGTGTGACCTTCTTCACCACTCTCTTTATTCTGCTCTCCCCACCTATTCTACCTTCCTCAGGATCCACTGATTTCCCTCTTTCCTGTTCACTCTCTCTCTCTTTCTTAAGATTTTTTTAATCACAATTGTCTACTTTTTGCTAATTTTAAATATATTTTTAAACATTTTCTAAATTATTTTTTATATGTTTACATTTTTTGTTTTTGTGAAGCGCCTCGTGATTTTTATCTTGAGAGGCGCTATAGAAATCATATTTTCTTCTTCTTCTATAAAGGTGGTGATAATGATGATGATGATGGCCTAACTTACTCGAAATATGATGCCAGCTTGTAAGTGATTAGTTACTTTCGGATTAGTTATTTTAAATAATCCATATAAAGAATCAGAGTAAAAGTTTGCGTGTCCCCCCCCAAACATGTCTTATCCTGACATGGGATTTTTACGCCCTCTAGCGGATAAAATTTGTTAACACAGGCAGCGTGCGTAAAGTTAAACAAGACACAACTCATAAACACTTCCTGTTGATTCCTTCATTATAAAACATGCCGCGACAAGTGACTGAAGGGTTTATAGTTACAGGTATACAGTTAGTCTGAATAACAGGAATGTCTTCACATATCCAAACTACTTAACTACTAAAACACTGTAAATCTATTTAATCATCTGTTCAACAAGATAAAATCAACAAAAACAGGAACAATCACAGTCTATGGGAACAATTAGCAGCTAGTCAACGTAACTACAAACATATCAGGTTGTATGCCCTCTAGCGGCCAAAGGGTGAAACTAAATCCACGGTGGACTTGGAGAGATTACTCTTGGGTAATATTAAATAAACGTTTTTAGGATCCAGCAATTTACCATCATAACTTTGTAATTTCTAATTAAACATGTTAGAAACAAAACTATTAGTTCTTAATTTAAAGACCAATAATACCCAACTGCATCTAATAAACACATTCAGATACAGACTTGAATTAAAATGGCCCATATATTTTATTAAACAGGACAAGAATTAAAGCATTTGGATTTCACAATGAATGTATAAATAAATACAATAAAAACAAATAAAAAACAGTTTAAAAAGCTACTGAAAAACTGAGCTGCTTTAATTTGATAAACCTGTTTAATTAGATAAATGAAAATTTAAATTTATGTGCAATATATTATACATATTTGGTTTAAAGGGCAAAATGGAAGATAAGTAAACTTTCAGATCTTCCTGTTGTTTAGACTAACTATGCTGTTAACACTGACTTAAAACCATAGACTGTACAAACGCATGTTTTATTTTGAAGGACCAACCAGGAAATGCAATGATTTTTGTCTTGCTTAGCTTTATGAACAAGGCATGCAGTAACAACTTTCCAATCTCGAAAGCCAGACTAGAAGTGAGTTTACATCCAGTTTACCTAAATAAAACAAACGCTTGTAGACATAGTATGTGGCTATCAAGCAAATCAAACAACATATCACAAGCAATTAAATAAAAAGTGTATTTAGAAAAATAATCAACAGTAAATTTACTGAATTGAAAAACCTTCATTCGTCTTCCTCCGCTTATCCGGGTCCGGGTCGCGGGGGCAGCGGGGAGGCGTCCAGGAGGCATCCTGACCAGATGCCCAAACCACCTCAACTGGCTCCTTTCGATCCGGAGGAGCAGCGGTTCCACTCCGAGTCCCTCCCGAATGTCCGAGCTCCTCACCCTATCTCTAAGGCTGAGCCCGGCCACCCTACGGAGGAAACTCATTTTGGCCGCTTGTATCCGCGATCTCGTTCTTTCGGTCATTACCCAAAGCTCATGACCATAGGTGAGGATTGGGACGTAGATCGACCGGTAAATCGAGAGCCTGGCTTTCTGGCTCAGCTCCCTCTTCCCCACGACAGATCGGCTCAGCGTCCGCATCACTGCAGACGCCGAACCAATCCGCCTGTCGATCTCCCGATCCCTCCTACCCTCACTCGTGAACAAGACCCCGAGATACTTAAACTCCTCCACTTGAGGTAGGACCTCTCCCCCGACCCGGAGGTGGCAAGCCACCCTTTTCCGGTCGAGAACCATGGTCTCAGATTTGGAGGTGCTGATCCTCATCCCAGCCGCTTCACATTCGGCCGCGAACCTACCCAGCAAGAGCTGAAGGTCAGAGCTGGATGAAGCTAGGAGGACCACATCATCCGCAAAAAGCAGAGACGAGATTCTCCTGCCACCAAACTCGACACACTCCACACCACAGCTGCGTCTAGAAATTCTGTCCATAAAAGTGATGAACAGAACCGGTGACAAAGGGCAGCCCTGGCGGAGTCCAACCCTCACTGGGAACAGGTCCGACTTACTACCGGCTATGCGGACCAAACTCACGCTCCTCTGGTAAAGGGACTGAATGTCCCTTAACAGAAAGCCACCCACCCCATACTCCTGGAGCGTCCCCCACAGGGTGCCCCTGGGGGCACGGTCATAAGCCTTCTCCAAATCCACAAAGCACATGTGGATTGGTTGGGCAAACTCCCATGCCCCCTCCATCACCCTTGCAAGGGTATAGAGCTGGTCCACAGTTCCACGGCCAGGACGAAAACCACATTGCTCCTCCTCTATCTGAGATTCAACTATCGATCGGACCCTCCTCTCCAGTACCTTGGAGTAGACCTTTCCAGGGAGGCTGAGGAGTGTGATCCCCCTATAGTTGGAACACACCCTCAGGTCACCCTTCTTAAAGATGGGGACCACCACCCCGGTCTGCCACTCCCTAGGAACTGCCCCCGATGACCACGCAATGTTGTAGAGACGTGTCAACCATGACTGCCCTACAACATCCATAGCCTTGAGATACCCAGGATGAACCTCATCCGCCCCCGGGGCTCCGCCGCTGTGTAGTTGTTTGACTACCTCAGCAACTTCTGCCCCCGAGATCGGACAGTCCATCCCCAGGCCTCCCAGCTCTGGTTCCTCCTCGGAATGCGCATTGGTGGGATTGAGGAGCTCCTCAAAGTATTCCTTCCACCGTCCGACTATAGCCTCAGTTGACATCAGCAGCTCCCCATCCCCACTGTAAACAGTGTGAGCGAGTTGCTGCCTTCCTCTCCTGAGGCGCCGGACAGTTTGCCAGAACCTCTTTGGAGCCGATCGATAGTCTTTCTCCATGGCCTCACCAAACTCCTCCCACGCCCGAGAATTTGCCTTGGCAACTGCCACTGCTGCACCCCGCTTGGCTATCCGGTACCTGTCTGCTGCCTCCGGAGACCCACAGACCAGCCACGCCCTGTAGGCCTCCTTCTTCAGCCTGACGGCTCCCCGAACCTCTGGTGTCCACCAGCGGGTACGGGGGTTGCCACCACGACTGGCACCGGCCACCTTACGACCACAGCTAGCAACAGCCGCCTCGACAATCGCAGAGTGGAACAAGGCCCACTCGGACTCAATGTCCCCCACTGCTCTCGGGACGTGGTCAAAGCTCTGCCGGAGGTGGGAGTTGAAGACCGTCTTGACAGGTTCTTCTGCCAGGCGTTCCCAGCAGACCCTCACTATGCGTTTGGGTCTGCCAGGTCTACGCGGCATGTTCCCTTGCCATCTGATCCAACTCACCACCAGGT